CTGCCCGCCCCGGGGCCGGCACCGCCCCCGCCCCGCCCCGGAGGGGCCCTCCGCGTCCCAAAGTTTCCCCCTTCGTGTCCCGGAGCGGTCCCTCGTGTCCCCGCTGCATCCCGAAGTCACCCCATCGTGTCCCAAAGTGGCCCCGCTGCACCCCTGAAGCATCCCAAAGTATCCCCTTATGCCCCAAAATGTCCCCGCTGCATCCCAAAGTGTTCCCACTGCGTCCCCTTGTGTCCCCAAGCGCCCCTGCTGCACCCTCGGAGCATCCTCTTGTCCCCCAAGGTATCCCCTTGGGCTCCACTGCATCCCAAGCGGTCTCTGTCCTGTCCCCGTTGTGTCCCCAAGCGCCCCTGTCGCACCCCAGAAACATCCCCTTGCACTCCAAAGTATCTCCTTGTGTCCCAAAATGTCCCCACTGCATCCCAAGTTGTCCCCATTACATCCCCAAGTATCCCCAAAGTGCCCTTGTGTCCCCAAGTGTCCCTGCTGCATCCCAAACTGTCCCCGCTGTATCCCAGCCATCCCCACCGCATCCCAAACCCCTGTCGTACGCTGACCTGCCCCCGTTGTGTCCCAAAGGGTCACCACCGTGTCCCAAAGCATCCTCCTCATGTCTCAGCCATGCTCTTTAGTGTCCCTATTATGTCCCAAAGCATTTCAGTTGTGTCCCTTACTGTCCCTTTTGCGTCCCTTACTGTCCTGGTTGTGTCCCAAATCGTCTCCATCGTGACCCAAAGTGTCCCCACCCCAGAGGGGTGACTCTGGGTGACGGGAGCTCACGTCCCACTGCCACCCGCTCCCCGCCCTATTGCTCTCGGCACCCGTCCCTGCTGCCTGCAGTGACACTTGCGATGACATGGGGATTGGTGATGTCAGCCAGAAAAGATGTCCCCAAGCCCAGGGGACACGGTCACCACGGTGGCCTGCAGTCTCGCCCCTCTGGGGAAGCTGAGGTCCCCTCCTCTTGTCCCCAAGGGCCACCGGGAGCCAAGGGGCACCGAGCCCCCGCCGTGCCACTGGTGTCTCTGGGGATGTCCCCGTGCCCCGCCAGCAACACCTCGTCCTCGCAGCTGAACGGGGTCTTTATTCAGGAATACGGTGGTGGGCTCGTGCCGGACGCCGGCTCCGGCCGCGGCACAGCCCGGCTTCTCCCTGCCCGCCCCGCCGGTGGCACCGTCCCCACAGGCACTGCCCGGCCGGGCACCTCTGTCCTCCTACCCGGGGATGCCAGCTCTGTGCCACCGGCGAGCTGGGGACCACAGGGCTCCATCGTCCCCTCTTGACCGATGGGGACCCCCCAAACCCCACGCACCCCCTGGGGCTCAACCTCCGCGGATCCGGCCCCAGTGGGAGCGGGTGGCAGAGGAGGATGGGGTGCTTGGGGTGCCCCGTCTCCGGCACCCATCCCTCGAGCCGCATCTCGAGCGAGCTGGGCCACCGCGCTGCCCTTCATTGAGCCCACGATTGCCACCACCCACGGTCCGAGGTGACACGTGGCCAAATCCTTCCCCTGAGAAGCTGCTCCTTCATGTCCCCCACTTGTGTGGGCTTGTCCCCACACATGTCCCCAGGGGGTTTAGCCGTCGGGGAAGATGTAGCTGTACTGGTTGAGGATGTGCTCCACCACCTGGTTCTGGAAGACCATGTGCATGGCCATGTTCCCCTCCTCGCTCGCCGGCCGCAGCAGCGTGGGGCCGAAGACGATGGCGATGCTCTGCACCGACATGCGGTTCTCCTCCTTGTACTCGATAACCCTGTGGGGATGAGGGACGGTGTCACCTGGCATGTCCCCAAACCCAGGTCCTGTCCACCGGGTTGGGTTTGGGGGGAGTGGGACGGGTGTCACCTGCAGAGGTGGCGGAAGAGGACCTTCATGGTGTCGTGGTGGGCGGGTGGGAGGGAAAACACCAGGTCATGGACACACTGGCCCCGCCTGGTCGGGTCCTGCATCTCTGTGAGGGGAGACACGGTGGGGTGCTGGCTCTGGCAGCCGGAGCACCCGTCCCCATCCCTGTCCCCATCCCTATCGCCATCCCCATCCCCGTCCCCATCCCCATCCCCATCCCCGTCCCCATCCCCATCCCCGTCCCCATCCCCATCGCCATCCCTATCCTCATCCCCGTTTCCATCCCTGTCCCCATCCCTGTTCCCGTCCCCATCCCGGTCCCCAGGCCTCACTGATGGCAGCGATGAACTTGTCGAAGTGGCTGAAGGGGATGAGCGGCTCCGGCAGCTCTCGGAAGAAGAGCTTCAGTGCCCCGGTGACAACGTGGATGTCCTCCCAGCGCCCGTCATCCAGGTCCAGGTGCTCGTCTGCGGGGTGGGGACAGCACCTCAGGCAGGTCCCAGAGCCCTGGGGACCGGCGAGGGTCCCCGTCCCCTCCCTCCCTGGCTGGAGCCCTGTCACCCTGCCCTTGGGGGGGGTTATATCCCATTTGTCGCCCGTTGTCACCATGGGGGACCTTACCATGCTCCACTTTGTAGCGCAGTTTCTGGATGGTGGCCAGGTTGCCGCTGACCCGGTACAGCCCGTCGATGTCCAGACCTGACAGAAGATGGTGGTGATTGTGGAAAAGCTCCCGGTTAACCACAGCCCGGCCTGGGATGTGACACCAGCCACCATCGAGGGAGCTCCAGGTACCCACGGGTCCCCACTGTCCCCTGGGAGATGCCCACAGCCGGATGGCACATGGTGACAGCGACCAGCATGGCTTTGCAGGGCCGCAGCACCCAGCTTCCAGGGAAAACCCAGCCATCAAATTTAGCTTTACCCAGTGCTGTCCCCATCCTGGTGCCCCCCCAGGTTGCCCCCGTCCCCGAGCCGCGGGGCAGTACCTCTCCTCTCCACGGTCTGGATGCACTGCAGGACGAAGCGGGGCACCGTCCCCCGCTCCCGCTCGCACAGCGCTTCCAGGGAGCAGCCGAAAACCTGATCTGGAAAAACCAATGGAGGCTTGAGCACGGCTGGGTGGCACCAAAAGGGTGCCCAGTGGCGGGTCCAGGGTAGGGGACAGGGCTGGGGACATCGCAGGAGGGCCCATTCCCATAAGGGGTGGCTGGAAGTGATGGGACATGCCCGAGCCCATCACCATGATGTTGGGTCAGGGTTGGGCTTGGTCCCCCAGCCCACTGTCCCAGCTCCATCCCTGCCTGTCCTCACCCACCTCCCAGCCTGGGGACACCCCGAGGGGGCTCAGCTCCATCCCAGCACCCACCCCGATGTAGCCCCATCCTGGCACCCACCCTTGATGTAGCCCCTCTCGCGCAGGGACTGCAGCGTCGGCCGCCTCTGCAGGAACTTGCGGAGTTTGTTCCGGACTTTGCTGGTCTCGCTCTCGCCGCCGGCACTGCCCGGTGTCTGCCCGGCCACTGGTGGGAACGGGGCACAGGTCACCATCATCCCAAGGGACCGGGGTGCTCCCGGCATGCCCCCCACCACGAGGAGCTGGGGACACCGTGCGGCGGCCACCCGACCCTGCCCGGTGGATGGTTTTGCCGGTGCCACCCCAGTGCCTGTCCCTGTGCTGGGATGCCCGAGCTCACCTGCCCTCTTCTCCTCGCCACTCCCCAGCTTCTCCCGGGAGCCGAATTCAGCCCTGCTCTTGGCATCCTCCTCGCCGGGGAGGTTGGTGCCCTAGGGAAGGGGCAGCGTGAGACCCCTGTGCCCGTCCCCGGGGCCTGCTCACCAGCCTGCCGATGCTGTCGGCGATCGCCTTCTGCCAGGCGGTGATGATCTGCTCCGAGTCGTGCTGGATGAGGAACTCCGAGCCCTCCCGTGTCTTCAGCTACAGAAGCAGCAGGCAGCGGTCAGGGCAGGGCCGCGGGGCTGCCTGCGTTTGGCCACAGCCACACGGCTCTGGTGGCCAGGTTGTGGCTGAGAACGGCGCCCAACTCATTACACCAATGACCCCAATAGTTGCTGTTTGCTGGTGAGCAGGGTGGCTGGAAACCTCCTCCCTGTGCAAAGCCTGAGTGGAAAAACCCCTCTGGGAGCCAGGACGTCCCTTGGTGACATCTCCATGGCCATAGGAAAGGGGCAGTTGCCGGCAGTGCAGCATGTCCCTTTGCTCCCAGCCTGGGGACGTCCCCTAGTGTCCCCACCAACCCCAGCACATCCCCTTCACCGCTGGTGGGATGAACCAGGCAGGTGCTGGCATTGCCACCGCCCCCTGGGCCACGCGTGGACCCCGATGGGTGACCGATGTCCCCCCCACTGTCACCCAGCTCACCTCCAGGACGTGCTTCTTGCTGGACTTGTCCTTGCCAGCCCAGGCGAGGGTGGCCCCGCGCAGCTCCACCGTGTGCTCGGGGGTGGTCAGGGTGCTGGGGTGCCGCTGCGGGAGCAAGGGGACGAGGGTGGCACCGCTGGCACCTGCCCTGAGGGGACGGGGACACCGGGGTCCTGCTCTGCAGGGGAGCTGCAGGCTTTCCTCTGCCAGAAAGGCATGAGTGGCAAATGTCCCCTGTGAGACGTCAAATGTCCCCTGTGAGACGTCTCTGTCCCCTCCCACGGCACCGGGGTCTCTCTGCAGGACCTGGACATGGTGCTGCTGCTGTGGGGTGGGTGTCGTGGCCACCAGCTCGGGGACAGCCACCGTCACTTCATGGGACATCCCCAGCCCTGCCCGGGGACCCCGGGGGTCTTCAGCTTTAGGGTCCGTCTTGGTGACAGCAGCGTGCAGCAGCAGCATTATGTGGGGAACGGAGGCCCTTGCAGGCTGCCGGGTGGCTGTCCCCGGGGAGGGGACAGTCCCCTGGCGTTTTCGTAGGGGAAGAGCATCAGACCCTCTTGCTCTCCCCATGCCCTGGGTTTTGGGGTGCTTTGGCCATGCTCCCCCTCCATCCCTCCCCTCTCCATCCCTGTTTTCCAGAAGAGCCCCCCCAGCCAGAGCCCCGCACCCCCATCCCAGCGGTGGGGCCAGCACCGCGAGGGCGTGGGTCAGTCCCCTCTCCTTCCCCTGCCACCGTCGCCGCAGGGTGTTGCAAGACCCATGGCAGCTTCTGCATCCGGGTGGTGGCTGATGGGTGCCGGGGGCTGGGTTGGGCGCCGCTTCCTCCCTGCTCTTCCTCCCTGCTCGCCCCGACGAGCTCCGGGTGCTCGTTAGGGTGCCCCAACACCGGCCCCGGCCCCGCTCCCACACAGGGGGAGCGTGTGTGTGCAAGGGGAGGTGCGAGCTCAGTGCTGGGAGGGGTCCTCATGCAGGGTGCTGGGCCTGTCCCATGGGTGCTGGCCCTGTCCTGTGCATCCTGGCTCCATCCCATGGGTGCTGGCCCCATCTCATGGGTGCTGGTCTCATCCTGCAGGTGCTGACCCCATCCTGTGGGTCCTTGCCCTGTCCCATGGGTGCTGGCCCCGTCCCATGGGTGCTGGCCCCATCCTACAGCTGCTGGCCCCATCCTGTGGGTGCTGGCCCCATCCCGTGGATGCTGGCCCCATCCCATGGGTGCTGGCCCCATTCCATCAGTGCTGGCCCCGTTCCATCAGTGCTGGCCCCATCCCACGGGTGCTGGCCTTATCCCATGGGTGCTGGCCCCACCGAGGCTGTTGGGGCTCTTACCAAGGCACCGGCAGCCGAGTGCTTGGAGTCCTTGAAGAAGGTGAGGATCCCCCCCTCCAGCACCGTCCAGGAGGAGCTCCAGTTCTTCCTGGGGAGCAGAGGGGGGGTCACGCAGGGGGACAGCACAGCCCCTGTCCCCTCCGCCCCCCCAGGCCTCCCTTCTCCGGTGGCGGGGACACCAGGATCTGCTTACCGGAGCCGCTTCCCTCTGTCCGCTGTCTTGGTCCGGTTGAGCACCCCAGCTTTTTCGAGGCTTTTAAACTGGAAGGCAAAGCATGTGAGGGGAGTCAGGTTTGCACCCTGTCCTCCCTGGTGCTGGGGTGGGGAAGGGCTGGCTGCCCCTCCCCAGGGTGCTCACCTTCTCCTCCTTGAGCCCCAGCGCTGGCGGCACGGTGCTGTGCCAGGCAAAGAGCCCGCTGTCCTGGCTGGAGCTGCTGCTGGCCCGGTCGTGGCGGCTGCCCAGTGGCACCTGGAGGGGAGCGAGCGGGTGATGCCCGAGGTGCCCGTGCCGGATGGGTGCTGGGCTTCGCACCCATTGCACCCCAGAGTCCCTGCCCTCTGCTTTTGTGGCCCTGTGAGGATGCTCATCCCATGGCAGACACCCCTGTCCCCATCTTTGTCCCTATCCCTGTCCCCGTCCCCATCCCAGTCCCTCTCCCTGTCCCTGTCTGTATCCTGTCCCTGTCTGTATCCTGTCCCTGTCCATATCCCATCCCTGTTCCCATCCCAGTCCCTACCCCTGTCCCCATCTCCATCCCTGTCCCTTTCCCTAGACCTGTCCCTGTCCCTTGCCCCACTCCTGTTCCCACCCCTGTCTCCATCACTATCCCCATCCCCATCCCTGTCCTCATCCCCATTCCTATCCCTATTCCCATCCCTATCCCTGTCCCTATTCCCATCCCCATCCATATCCCTGTCCCAATCCCTGTCCCTATTCCCACCCCTGTCCATATCCCCATCCCCATCCCCGTCCCCGTCCCTGTCCCTGTCCCCGTACCGTGTCGGAAGCGAAGTGCTCGGGGCAGAACACGGCTCCCTCGGGGTGGCTGTGCCTGTACCAGCCCGGGGGTGAGCCCAGCTCCTCGGCGCTCCTCGGGGGCAGACAGAGAGCAGCCCCCTGATCATAGGAGCCCACGGGCGAGTAGTCCTCCTCGGGATAACCCTCCAGCTCATCTGGAGAGAAGTCGGGATAGTCCGTTTCTGGAGTGGGCGGCTGGAGGGAAGAGCCAGGTCAAAATCTTGTGCCCCACCAAGAGCATCCGCATCCCCAAGCCGTGGCCAGCCCAGGTGGCGGCTGCCCCATCTCCATCATCTCCATCTCCATCCCCATCTCCATCTTCATATCTTTATCAACGATCTGGAGGAGGGGATTGAGGGCACCCTCGGTCAGTTTGCAACCAACACCCAGTCGGGTGGGAGCGTTGATCTGCTGGGGGGCAGGGAGGCTCTGCAGAGGGCCCTGGCCAGGCTGGGGCGATGGGCCCAGGCACTGGGTGAGGGTCAGCAAGGCTCAGGGCCGGGTCCTGCACAGGGGGCACAGCAACCCCAGGCACCGCTGCAGGCGTGGGGAGGAGCGGCTGGGAGCTGCCCGGCGGGAAAGGGCCTGGGGG